TTGGTGAGTTTTTCGATGCTATTTGTGTTAAGGAATGTGGTAAGAAGGATACGGTTTGGTGCACACACACACGACTCTGGAGTTATGACTAAAGTAGTTTTGATAGCATTTTCTGATGACTTACTAATGTTTTGTTTGATTGCTTAGGTGATTTTGCAGGTTTTGATTTAAATTTTCAGCTTGACATGATTTTTCTTTTGCTTGAATTGCTAGAGACTAGCAATAAACTGGTTGGAGGTTGTGATAAGTGCACTATTATTTACAAATGTCAAGAAAGTTAAACTTACAGCAAAGAAATGGAAATTAAAATTTTTTGTGAAACAAAATGTTACAAAAAAAAATTGAATTATAATTTAAATCCGCGGAACAAATAATAACTAATAAGGTGAATAATTTTTAAACGGCTCATCTTTCAACTATTTTCTAAAAAAGTGAATTTTTCGGTGATTAATCCATATAGTCCAACTCGTTAGAGTATCTTTTATCCAACTTATTAAATGTGACTATTTTTTAAAATTTTTTACTGTAACAAAAATTAAATTCTAAATTTGAATGAGCGAAAAAAAAAAAAAGGTCTTAGTGGTTTATTTTGGAGGTACCAAATTTACATGCAATGGAAACGATTTCGAGAAGGTCAAAATGGTATTATTGGTTATGTCCGGTCCACACGGGTATTTCAGCTTTTTTTATTTTTTATTTTTTGGGCTGGAATATTTAATTTCAAAAAAGAAAATAAAAAAATATAAGTTACAACGGCTAGGAAGATAAAAATTAGACGGCGTTAGCAAAGAGCGTAGGCTCTGGCTCTACAAGTCAGGTGGTGGGCCCGTCAGAGGCCGGTGTTTACGCGTTTCCAATACCAACCCTCTTCAATGCAGCTGGCTCTTAACAACCTTTGCCCTTAAATTAATTATTTTATTATAACAAAAAAAAAAAAATCCATTTTCTAAAAAAATAATAATAATTGAAGAACTTTCTCTTTCCTCAAGAATCTTCTCTTTCAATTTTCACGACTTTTGTTCACATAATTTAAAAGGAAAACAGTGAAGACATTCTCTCAGATGGGCATTTCAGGTTTCTATATTCCCAAACAACCCAACTAACTGTATTTTCATTGTCCTAATCTTTTGACATTGTGAATATGACCACTCACAGAACATACCCAACAATTAATAAAGTGTGTTTTTTAAAGGGAAAAAAATTGATTAATGGGTTTCAGGAAAAAGAAACTCGAACTCCAATTGCTGCTTAAATACATATATATATATATATAATGTCAGTCTTGAACAGTTGAACTCTTCCAATCAACCAAAAATAAATAAATAAATAAACAAGAGACAGATAGTATCAGTGGCTGATATAGGTAACCAAATGACATCCAGTAATGTAAGCCTTGTTCAGAGATCATGCAAACACATCATAAATGAGAGAACACAAAATCCTCATTTTCCAAGGCAACTAGAGGTTAATGGGTCCCATTAGCAGATTTCATATATTTCAGAATCAACAAACTGAAGAGTGACTTATCATAATAGGTACCCATCTAAGGTAGTAATCTGTAAAAAGGTACAGTTAACTGATATAGAATACTGGTCATATAGCTCATTATTTACCCAAGGCAACAAAGAATATGATACAATATCCATGCATGTATGAATGTCTTTTGCTATACACAGACACTCAATTTATGGTCAACTTGTCACCAGTTCTGCTATATTTTCACTTCCTTCTACACGTCCAAATGCAAAAGGCCTTTTTCAGCAATTTCACTCTCAAACAAAAAGCTTAGCATCATCACCTGTGTTTGATTTGAAAAACCATATCAAGTAACGCACAACTTCCCAACAAAAGAGTGACGGAATCAAATTGAATGTTTTGCTACCAAAATAATAATAAGAATAATAATAATAATAAACAAATAACAAACAAACAAATAAACTCCCTACAAAAGAGTTACAGAAGGATTCAACTTTAAAATTTATAAGAAAATAATAACAGGACCCTGTAACTGCTTAAGGATTTTGAAGCATCACAGTCCAAGTTTTTCAGCTAATAGGGTACAAGACTTGACTTTTAAAAGCCGGTTGTGGTAGGACATTCTATATATCCATATCTGGACTGATGACAAAAGAGCTAGATTGAAGAGCAGCACCAACTTAAATAACACAGAAAAGCGTTTCAAGTCCAATATTAATATTGGAGGGAACCATTTTGTATAAGGGTGTCATTTTTTTTTCCCCCATTTTTGGATCTGGATAATATGGTAACAAGTCCGAAAAAGCAATGTTCTCGTTGCGCAGAAATTGAAGAGTTTGGCAACACTTAAAATCTTAACTATATGGAATTCACCATCTAATTGGAATAGAACAATTCATGTCCATGAAAACCCAATCTGCTGTAGCAGTTTCATATTGCTTCTCACTGAAACTGACAAGTACTGCTTCAACTGTAGAAAAAACTATATGCAGAAATTCTGTTTGCTCAAGTGATATCCACCTTTCTATAATTTATGCTCGAAAAAGCTACTAGTACAATGTGACATATCAAAGATTGTGTGCATTCGCCTGATACAGCTCCAATATTGTATGATTGAGGAATCATTCATGGGCAGGATACAATCACGCTAGTTTCTAAATGAGGGTACATTGCAATTGTTGCTTGATAAAAGAGCAGAGAAAAACAGCCGGAATTACAAATGGAAGAAAAGAACCTAAAAACATGAAGCGCATTAGAAGAGCAGTTAGATGAACTTACAAGAGAGCGGGAGAACAAAATTAGATCAGCTAACAATAACAACATTGAACTTGAAGCTCTAATGTTCTTCATTATATGGTGGTGTCGACTGAACATAAAGTCCATTCTTATCACCATCATCATCCTCATCATCTTCATTGGCATCAACCCAATTACTGCGATGGCGTTGTGAAATATCTTGAACATTTATTTCTGACCGATCTGAAAGCACCAAACTGCCACAATTTAGCTATTGCAGAAGAATACTAGAGCAAGTTTCTTTTTTTTTTAGGCAATATTAGTGCAAGGTTAATCCAACGTGTACTCTTATTTAGGGCCGGCAATATGGATCACAACACGACAAAAAAACCACACGATTTTCACAGAGTTAGGGTTGAGAAAAAAGATGTTCGGGTCAGAATTTGGTCGACCTGAAATTAACACGAAAAATACGGGTCAATTTCGGGTTGGACCCGCCTAACCCGAACACGACACGAAACTCGTAAAAAACTAAAAAATACATATATTTTTCACTACATATTTTTAATTTTATTATGAACTTGTGATATCATGATAGTTATACTCAAAATCTTATACTATTATTTGCTTAATTTCAATGGATGTTATTGTATTTTAGTGTGTTATGAATTTTAAGTTATTTATAATATGTTCAAAACTAAATAAAAGTATGCAATTTTCGTGTAAATTTCAGGTTCACGGGTCAATTTCATGTCACGCGTTATTTTCGTGTCGTGTCGTGTCAACCCGTAAAGTGGTCGTGTCGTGTTCGTGTTGCGATTTTTAAAAAATTTCGTGTCACGGATCGTGTTCAGGTTGACTACAAATTTAAAAAGAAACGATCAAAACACGACTCGAACACGACACGTGACACGAATTGACACCCCTACTCTTACTGACCTTGAGGTTCTTCTGCAAGGCCTTTTTCCATGTGGAAGCTAGTATAGACAGTCAAGAAAATACAATTAAAACCAATGAACAATGTCATTAATCATGTGAGAAAGTTGTCCTGATCAGCCTAACGGTAATTTTAGGAGTTAGGATTAGTTTATGTCATATCGATAAGTACAGATTCTTATAATGAAATGCATCGAAAAATTCAGCTGATACTCATTTTACAGGTATATCAATTAGAATGTTGAAAACACGTTTACAATGTCAGTCCAGGGTGCTGGGTATCAGGAGCAAAGAATCCAGTTACTTTGTGAAAGTGCTGGGCACAAGATCATGTATACTCTACAAAGATAAACTATAAAAAGTTGCATATCATTAATAATAGTTCATAGATATTAAAGCAATTAGTCAGTTTGGGACTTAGATACATGCAGCAATATCATCTAAACAACAGAAATTAAACGAATATTGAAGCAAACAGTAAGACTTAGGATACGTATCAGAAATGATGGGTTCATTTTCTCTATCTGGTGCAGCTTTTGAGATATGCATTGCACTAAGCCTTGTAATTTCTCTCTGTCCACTAGCATCTAAATTTCTTTCTTCTTGGAACTGTCTACGTTCAGTGCCATTTCCATTTCTGTTGGCACTTCCTGCATAAAGAAAAGAATTTGAACCAATTGAAGAACAACATACTGTTCCTATCAGAACATTAAGAAAAAACGGTTACCCGAAAGATCGGACCAAATTTTGGTGTGATCAGATGGATGTTGTGAAATATTTGCTCCAGACCTGACTTGTGCTTGAAACCCTGCCCTTTTCTCAGTCTGTGCAGGCGTTGTAGCAGCAGCTTGTGCAGGCTCTGAGGGATGGTCATGGAGCTGTGACACTAGCATGGTTGCAAGTACAGTGTAGCATCAAAGTTTGAACTGGAACCATCATCTAGGCCAAATTTTGGTGCCATACGTATAGGCCCTCAGTCTGTGCAGGCGTTGTAGCAGCAGCTTGTGCAGGCTCTGAGGGATGGTCATGGAGCTGTGACACTAGCATGGTTGCAAGTACAAGTGTAGCATCAAAGTTTGAACTGGAACCATCATCGAGGCCAAATTTTGGTGCCATAAGTATAGGCCTAATTTTCCAATTCAAAAGTTTCAAAGATCAATTCACATTAATAATTTATTTTAACTTGATAATTGACTCTAAAATGCAAGCACGACAACTTATAACATTTGATAGAAAGTAAATTTTTCTTGATTGCCAAATCAACTAATTAAATCCTAAGGACTGAAACTTTCAAATGGCTGTTTCTATTGCGTTGGATTCAGAAATTTAGCAACCAATAGAAATATGAACCACCACCTCAACTAATCATACATCAACAATATGCCTATAGACGAGTCGTCAGAAGGATTATTACTTACCCTCATGTCATAAACCAAAAACACCATATCTGTTTCCCTATATAGACATTTGGCTTACCATAAAAATATCACAGCATTTCCAGTCAATCAGTATGATAATAGAAAGAATCACAAAAAACAAATGTAACTTGACCATAACAGCTAGCGCAAAGAGACATAAACTCTTTTCTTTTTTTAACTTATTGCTCTACTATGTGATTTTTTTGAGGTGTTTCAGTGGCTAAAACAAGCATTAAAGGTATTTTGCAGCAGATAATTGATCGATCAAGGATTTTCTATTGACTGAATAATATGAAAATTAACAAAGATAGGCAGGTTTTCGAGAGACCTGTGGCACTCCAATTCTAGATCTAGTCCAGATACAATTTTTGAGAAGTTCATCGACAAAATAATCCCTACGCTTACTCTCTTCCCCCTTTTTATTGCTAATTCCTAACAAACTTCTTAACAAAGAAAGTCTCCCTCCAAATTCCTGGATCCCCAAGCACTCAACAATTCCCTCCAATCCTCTCTCACCATTTTGCCAGCTCAACTAACCGCCTAACAACCCAAGGTACCAATCCCCAACGATGCAGTCCCACTGCCTTCTCCCGGACCCTCAATATTCCCCTGCCCTGCTGTCTTGCTTGTTTCCCCAGGACCTGCAGCAAACTTCCTACCAATCCTCCTCCTCGCATAAGTAAAACGCAAGGGAGGCTTACCATTTTTATAATGCCTGAATATTTCTGGATCACATGCTATACGTAAATATGTGTCTGGGTTCTCACGCCTCTCAAGTTCCCATCCTACTTATTTTTTTTCTCGCTACTGGCGTATGCTGAATCCTATTATTTTTCAACAAAATGGACCATGAGAGGCCCACATAGATGGATAGGTCACATTTGATTTGAAAATCTCATATCACCCGAAGATGAATTAGATGAGTTAAATCAATGTGGACAAGTAATGTTAGAATCCCTCCTATCAAGTTTGTTTACTCCAGGAGGAGCAAGTTGGATAATACCACTTCCTAAGGGGAAGCTGTGTTAATTTGAGAAGTTGTGCTGACATGGCAAATCTGTTGCAATTCTATTATGAGGTCATGTAAGGGTCTAGGGGAAAGGAGTTAGCTACGAGTTAGTTTTATTTCACTTATCGAGGGAGGGGGACTATTAATAAGGGGGTAAGAAAGGGAATAGGTAGGAAATTAGTTGCCATTGTAGTTTGGATCTAGGGAGGCAGAGGAACATCGAATTCCTCTTATCTATAATTTCTGTCATTTACTTCCGGCACTAAGAAAATCAATAAAGAAAATACCGGGAATCAATCGGGGTTCTAACAGCTTGGTATCAGAGCCACCGATCCTATGGCCAACGTTCTACCTGAGCCACGCATTCCCGACCGCATCGCAACCCTGGAACTCCGGATGGATAATGTCCATGAGAGTGTGCTGATAATGGGAGCTATGGTTGATCATGTTCCACAGCTACAGGAGAACGTCGATAGGCTGGATAATCGAGTGGGTGAGCTACAAGGGGCGATGCAGAGGATAGAAGAGTTGTTGCAGAGACAGGTGAGGATCTTCGACAGAGGACAACCGGAAAGAGAGCCAGCCAGAAACCACGCGCGAACCCCACCAAGACGTGAACCGGAACGAGGCCGGGTGGGTTATCGAGAAGAACCACCGGTTCAAAGGGGGGAGAGAGAGGAAGGACGACGCCGTCCGTCACCGGTCCGGCAGCAGATGAGGAACGGATCTTGGCCGCATCGGTTTGTATGGAGGGCAGAGCTTTGGGATGGTTCCAGTGGGTTGACACTCAAGACCCTTTCACCAGTTGGCGGAATCTCCGGACGGCCGTGATTCAACGATTTAGCCGTGCGCGTGAGGGGGACCCGACTGAACGATTGATGTCGCTCAAACAAACCGGAGGAGTGGCTGATTACCGGGATGCTTTTGAGTCCCTGGCGGCGTCTATGAGAGGGGTGCCTAAGCCCATCTTCAAGGGGGCCTTCCTAAATGGGCTTCGGGAGGATATAAGGGCAGAGGTGAGGATGCACAGGCCCAATAACTTCCTAGAAGCTATGGATCTGGCCCAACAAGTGGAGGACCGACTGGATGCTGTAGACCGGGTTAGGAAATTCCGGTTTGAGCGGGGCTCCAAGGGAGAATTTATGGGTCGGTTCAACCCAATTCCTTACAATTCCAACCTAGTTGTCGAGCAGAAAGAAAGCTCCCTTCAATCCCAAATGAGCTGTGAGGCAAACACGTCCTCCCGAGGCAACGCAGCACCGACAGGGAAAATCCATGCCGTCGGGGACTCGGGGTTCCGGCACATGTCCTTTGAAGAGCTGCAACAACGGAAGGCGAGAGGGTTATGTTTTCGGTGCGACGAAAAATTTGGCCCTGGTCACTGGTGTAAGAGCCGAGCGTTGCAGGTGTTGATGCTCACTGACGAGGAGTCGGATCAGGAGTGCGAGGAGGATTTTGGGAAGGGCTTGGGGGAGCATGAAACCGGGGACCAAACAGTGGCTGAAATCGCTGCCCTATCCCTTAATTCCTTCAATGGGTGCTCGTCGGCCAAGACCTTGAAGGTGAAGGGCTTAATCGATGGACGGGAGGTAGTCATTCTCATCGACAGCGGTGCGTCACACAGTTTCATTGCCTCACCTCTCGTTAAGGAATTGGGAATTCTGTTGGATCTATCAATGGGCCACAAAATCCAGGTTGGAAATGGACTGACATTCCAATAGAAGGGGGTGTGTCACAACGTAACTGTAATGATTCAATGGCAACGAGTGAAAGAGGATTTCTTTTCCTTCGACTTGGGAAACGTGGATTTAGTTCTCGGGGTAATCTGGTTCAAGACCTTGGGGGAGGTACGGGCTGATTGGGGACAATTTACTCTTAAATTTCTAGTCGATGGCCGTTGGGTGTGTCTGCAGGGGGACCCCACACTTTGCTGTTCCAGAGTAAGCTTTTGTGCCATTTGCCGCTCCTTGCACTCAGAGCAAATAGGTATACTGTTGGAAATCAGCCTGGCAACCCACGAAGTTACCAACTCGCAGGAAGACACGATACCACAGGGGTTAGAAGAAGTTTTGCGGCGCTTTCAGGAGGTATTTGCAGTACCAGGGGAGCTACCTCCACGACGAGCTAGAGATCACCACATCGTCCTGCAACAGGGAGCTATTCCTCCCAACATAAGGCCGTACCGGTATCCCCACATCCAGAAGGAGGAAATAGAGAAGCTAGTGGGAGAAATGCTTGCTTCCGGCATAATTAGACCCAGCACCAACCCCTTCTCAAGCCCCGTTTTGCTAGTCAAGAAGAAGGATGGTAGTTGGCGTTTTTGCGTTGATTACCGGGCTTTAAATCAGATTACGATTCCGGACCGATTTCCAATTTCGATGTTCGACGAATTGCTGGACGAGTTGCATGGGGTTAGTGTTTTCTCGAAGCTGGACCTTCGCTCTGGCTACCACCAGATCAGAGTTCGCGAGGAAGATGTGGAGAAAACAGCCTTCCGGACCCACGAAGGGCATTACGAGTTTCTCGTGATGCCCTTTGGTCTCACCAACGCCCCCACCACCTTCCAATCTTTGATGAACACGGTATTCCGACCCTACTTAAGAAAATTTGTTTTAGTTTTCTTTGATGATATCTTGGTTTACAGTAGAACATGGGAGGAGCACAGCAGGCATTTGGCGCTGGTTCTGCAGGTTCTGGTTCGGGAGAAACTCTATGCCAATTCAAAAAAAATGTTCTTTTGGTCGTTCCCAGATTGACTACCTCGGGCACATTATCTCTAGTGCCGGGGTTGCAGCGGATTCTGCTAAGGTGCAGGCAATATCGTCATGGCCAACTCCTCAGTCACCCCGAGAACTCAGGGGATTCCTGGGATTAACCGGTTATTACCGCCGGTTTGCCGAGGGATATGGAATGATAGCCAAACCACTAACTGACTTGCCCAAAAAAGGAGCCTATCAATGGACTCCACAGGCCGAGGAGGCTTTTCAGCAATTGAAGCTTAGGATGGTCAGTATGCCAGTTCTGGCCATGCCTTCGTATTAGAAACTGATGCTTCAGGGACTGGCATTGGAGCGGTTCTCATGCAGGAGGGACAGCCAATTGCCTATTTTAGCAAGGGACTCGCTCCCTCGGCTCGCTAGAAGTCAGTTTATGAACGGGAGTTGCTAGCAATTGTACTCACTGTCCAGAAATGGCGGCACTACTTGTTGGGCCGCCAATTTATCATTCGTTCCGATCAGCAAAGTCTTCGTCACCTGATGGATCAACGCGTGTTGGCACCCGAACAGCTGCGTTTAGTGTCCAAATTATTCGGGTATGATTTTGAAGTTCAATACAAGCCCGGAGTAGCCAACCGCGTGGCTGATGCGCTGTCTCGAATGGACGATATCTCCCTGGCTAGTCTTATGGCGATTTCTATTCCCCAGCAGCTTGACTTCGACGCCCTACGTCGTGAGCAATCCCAAGACCCCTTCTATGTGCAGGCGTTGGCCAAGATTCAAGGGGGAGACGTGACAGCCCCTGCTTTTAGCTGTAGCAACGGTCTCTTGCTGTTCAAGGGACAGATAGTCATCCCAGTTTCTTCACCATGGGTACCAAGAATGTTACACGAGTTCCATGACTCGGTTATCGGAGGGCACTCAGGGATCTTGCATATACTTATAAGCGCATATCGGCGGTAGTTTTCTGGAAGGGAATGAAGAAGATGATTCGGGATTATGTCGCACGATGTGAAACTTGCCAGCGGTGCAAGACTGACGCCCTCTCTCCAGCGGGGTTACTGCATGGCTTGCCTAAGACTATAGTTAGTGATCGTGATCCTCTTTTTATGAGCTTGTTTTGGAAGGAGCTATTGAAGCTACAGGGAACAAAATTGCACACCAGTTCGGCATATCACCCCCAATCGGAAGTAGCCAACCGTTGCCTAGAGACGTACTTACGGTGTTTTGCGAATGACAAACCACGCCAATGGCAGACATTCCTGCCTTGGGCAGAATATTGGTTCAATACCAATTACAATGCCTCTACGAAATGCACTCCCTTCCTGGTGGTTCATGTGCGGCCCCCTCCTACCTTACACCGTTTCCAAGATGGCACGGCAGTCGTACAGGAGGTGGAAGAGCAGTTGCAAACTCGTGATCGAATGCTGGAACTTTTGAAGCAGCATCTCACAGTCGCCCACCAACACATGAAGAAATTTGCGGATGCTCATCGGCGGGACATCTCCTTCACTGCAGGTGACTTGGTGTTGTTACGTCTACGCCCCTACTTTATGAAGTCATTAGCCCGCAGAACCAACGAGAAGTTAAGCCCGCGCTTTTATGGCCCTTTTGAAGTCCTAGAGAGGATTGGCTCCGTTGCATATTGGCTCAAGCTACCTCCAACGGCGAAGATCCATCCTGTGTTCCACGTTTCGCAGCTCAAGCCTTTTAAGGGGGAGGAGTTCACGGGTCAGCCCCTTCCTCTTGGTTTATCAGATGAGCTCAAACTAATGGTGCAGCTGCTGGCAGTGTTGGATTTTCGTGTTCGTCATGTGGGAGGAAAACAAGTTCTAGAGGTCTTGGTTCACTGGGAAGGTCTTCCCAGTTCGGATGCCACATGGGAACCAGTTTTCATCATCCAGTCTCAATTTCCCAAATTCAACCTTGGGGACAAGGTTGTACTTGGGGGGGGG